ACATGCACATCATCCTGGAGGTCCACTTCTTCGAAATTGGAGATATCAGTGAAGATGGCCTCGGGGCCGGAGTGTTGCGAGGAGGAACGAAAGGAGGAAGACTTGGAGGACTTGGACCCGGAGAGGTCAGGAGGGGAATTCGGGGTGGTCGTACAAACGGTTGTCATTTCGGCGGGAAAGCTGCAGAGTTCGAGACTCTTCCCAGATGAGAGTAAGGGAAGAACCTCAGGGGATGAACGTCAAGCAGCTGCGTATACCAAGGACGAGAAGAAGACGATATGAACACGTCCGATGGAGTCGCGAATTGAAGACAAAGAAAATAAGCCCGTTATCGAGAACGAAAGACGGGGGTGAAGAGGTGGGATGATCTCCGGATGGTATTAATTAATAGGTGTGTGACGGAAGAACCCCAAGCAAGATGCTGCATGCAATGGAAGCGGCAGAACAAGTGGCGGATCAGAAGATGGTCGGGGGCGAGGCTGTTTTTCTTTTTGCAATTTTGTTTCGTATTATTCTTGTCCTCCTCTTACTATGCACTCAAGGGATTCAGGAGTTAATCGTGCAGCGAGCAGTGCATTTGGGGGCCGGAGCCGAAGGGGGAAGGGGACGGAGAGAGATGAAACGATCCCCGACAAAAACCGAGACAAGAAGCAGATGAGACAAGCAGCGCGGAGGAGGAGATGGGTTGGGAAACGATAGACTAGACTAGACTAAAGCGAAAGACTGGAATGTAGGCGAGATATTAAAGAAAAAGAAAAGGAAACGAAAGTATGATGAGAGAGAAAAGAAGAGCGAGTGATATTTTGAGAGGTGGAATGAATGGGGAAAAAGAAGGTGGAAGAGGATGAATGAAAGCAGAAGAGAAGGAAGAAGAAGAAGAGGAGGAGGAGGAGGAGAAGGGGGATGGGATGGGATGGGATGGGATGGGATGGGATGGGATGGAGATGGGGATAAGATTAGGATGGGGATACAGTAATACTACGTACTAGTCGTAGTTGGTACTAAGGATGGATGCAATCAGACCAGCAAAGAGAGAGAGAGAGAGAAGCTGGCTGCAAACGAGCAACCAGACGGCAGTTCTGGACAAGGTCTGGCCAATCCCACTGGAGGCACTAGATGGCGATGGACTGGCGATCATTGGCTGTCTCTTCCAGAAGGATGTCTGCCTCGAACAGCGCACGGATTAATGGAGGGACGATAATGACCGTGAAATGAGGGTGGATATTCTTCTCACCAGGAAACGGTTCCAGTTAGTCCCGTTAGTCCAGTTCAATCCAATTAGTCGAAGTAGTCGTGGGTAAAGTCACCTCGGAGTGGTATAGTGTTGGTTTGCAAGTTTACTAAAGCATTACCCGCACCGCCACAGCCGAAATGAAGGCTGATACTAACTGGGTTTCCACCCGGTTATTAATTGCCCAGGAGAAAAAGAAAGAAGAAGAAGAAGAAGAAGAAGAAGAAGAGAGACGGAGAGAACTGGAAGAAGTTGCACACAGTCACTAGATACTAGTACTAGTAGCTAGTCTATACCCTGGATAAATCCTCATGACCTTGGATTGGAAAGACTTGTATTGAACTTCATTCCTTTTTGTTGACAATTTACCGTTGATGGGCAACCACACCCGCCCAACTATTTTGCCTCCCCCCTTTTCCAAGGTTCTCTTCCTCCTCTCCCTTCAGGATCCTCCCTTTAGATCTCTCACCCCCTGATCCAATTCTCCGTTGTCCATGGCCACCAGATCCGTGGTATGTATCCTGCCCTGCCCGTCTTTGTTTTTTTGCCCGGCCGACGAGCCGCGGGTCTCCGGACTGGAGTTCTCCCTTAGTCACTATAACTAGTTAGTTAGATAGCTGCTAATTAGATGAAATGGGTGCTAACTGATTAGGGCGTAGTAGTTAGTGAGGGTACCTAAACTACTCCGTACTGGGTACACCGTCCATACTTACTTAGTTACTTACTTACTTACGGTCGCGGTAAGTGCCCGATCGCAGCCAGAAAAACCTCCTCGGCCAATCTGCCTCCACCCCACGACACTAAATCGTTCGGAACCAGGTTTCTTGATCGAATCTCAGGAACTGTCCTGCCCTTTGCACCCTATACCGTAAGATTAATTGGCTACAATTCCTGCATCAGGCTTTTCTGTGCACTTTCCCCCCTCCGTTCCACTCCGAACTGAGTGGGCTTTGAGATCGGACGCCACCCGCATCGGGGAGTGTTTGTGTGTGTGTGTGTGTGTGTGTGTGTGTGCTGTTTCCAGTTCGATACGTAGTACAGAGTAATCCTGTCGTCATGCCCGTTCTCATCCTTCCAAGGCCACCGCATCCAGATTACATCACCCGCTCCCGGTTCTTGCTCTTGCTGTGCTTGCTTGCTCTCTGCAGGTCGACTCTATGCTAGTCTGGACTCTTGCTCATCGGCATCTTCTTTCCCAGCCTATCTACATTCAGCAAGGGGGTCTAGCCTCCCACTCTCGGTCATCTGCTGTCTCTACTCTCTACTCTCTAAAACTTCCAGCCGCCATATGTCGCATTGCCGGTTCGCACCACCTGCCCCAGCTGCCAGGCCTGGGTCTGGGAATTGGGCTGGCTCTCTCGGAGAATGACATCCAGCCAGCCCAACACCCGCGCGTATCGGGCTTGCTTGCGTCCCAGCACGAACCGGAACGCCGCGGCAGCCAGGTATTCAACCTCGCAATGATGCACCCCGCGACCAGCTGCGGCTGGTCCGTTCGCCTCACGTCGGGCTTGGACCATGCGCGTGGCTAGGTGTATCATGTCTCGAATGATTCGAATCACCACCTCGGGGGCTGGGTGCATCTGCCCGGGTGACTTCAAGTATCGGTACATCTTCATTCCCGATATGACGAAGTTTGCATACAGGTTCGACAGGATTACCCCAATCGTGTTGTGTTGCCGATCCAAGTACATGGGATGCATGAGCAGCTTGAAGGAACCCAGCAGTTTGCGGTGAAGAGTCCGGCCCGGTACTCGCGTCAGTTCGACCGTGAGCGAGTTCGAGAGACTAGTGGCCACGGATTGCCCCCCTTCCAGAATGCGCTCATGATCCTTGTAGATCTCTAAAGAACGGGTATCGATCAGACATCCACAGTAAGGGAAAAGCCGAGTATCCACGAGACGCGGGACCTGAATCCCCTCCACAGCGGCGGCGAAGTTGACCAGGCTTTTGGCTGGATTGACTGAGACGCCATAGGCAGGCTGCCCGGGGATCATCACCTGGAGAAAACGCATAGCCAGTGAGGACTCGGTGGTGACGAGTAGGAAGTCGTCAACTAAGCGAACCAGTAAAGCATTGTCGGACTGCAGGAATCCCAGTACTTGCTGCTCCATGTCTGCATAGAATAGGTTACACAGCATGCTCGATAACACTGAGCCCTGGGGAATGCCATTGCATTGCCGAAAGTAATTCCGCCCGAACTTAATTAGATTGTTTCGCACGTGGTCATCGAGGAGGTCGAGTAAATCTTCCGCATTGAATTCTCTCTGCATGAGCGTGTCGACAAAGACGGTGTTTCGCCTCTGGCTGGTCTCGCCGTTGGTCACCGCCTCTGCCAGGTGCTGTGGCCTTGCAGCAGGGGCTGCTCTACCGACAAATCGCCGCCTAGCCTTGCTTGGTCGTTCGTGCGATGGCCACAGGATGTTGAACTCATCAGATGGCGTCATTTCGACGTGCTTGGTATAATGGTAGGCCGCTTCAGTGATCAATTTTTCAATAAGATGGACCAGGCTTTGCTGAGGGATTGTATCAAAGCAAGACTGGATATCGAGTTTGACAAAGTACAGTGGAGGCACTGAGCCCTGATTCTGTAGGTGTCTTTTGAAGTTCTTCAATTGGGAATATATCTCCCCAACTGACTGCACACATGAGCCTAGTTTGGACGGCGCTCGTGTCTTCTCGTACTGGAGCATGCTATGAATCGGGGCAACAACCGAATTGACACTCCAGAATTTACCGCATTTTGCGTGGCCCGCTAGTACAGGTTTTCGCTTGAGATTTAAGAGAGGGCGAATGCCTGTTGATTTAGGCAAGAGTCGTAAGGAGCCATATCCCATACCGCTCTTCTCTAATCTCTTCTCTACCACACGCTGGGCTGTGGCTGGCTCCAACTCTTCGAAAACGCCAGCCTTGAGCTCAAGTATCGGTCTTTCAGTCAGCTGATACCAAATGTCGTGCCGGAAATAGAACAAACGGTTTCGACCAGACTGGGACTCGGTGACATAGAAGTTGGCACGGATGAGTGGTATTAGGATTGAGTCGAACAGGTAGTACACAAACTCATGAAGTAGCTCCGTTCGCTTCTCGAAGTCGGACCTCGACAGCTTGTGTGGTAAGGGATTGAATGCTTGTCTTGTATTGGAAGGAGGCTCAAGCCAAGGTATACAAGTAACCTGAAAATATACAGTTAGTATTGGAAGACAAGGATGTGGTTGTGATTGTCAATGAACCTTGATCCCCTGGCACACATCCTGAAGACTCGGATTTTCAAAACGTCGCATTTGCACGAATTGATCGACATGCTTCAGGATTTTAACTTGATGCAGAATTCTGTCCTGACCAGTTCCGTAGAATTGAGGGGGAATCAGGTTCTTCACGACAGCTCTGCAGAAGGCGGAGACAGATGAGGCAGGCGTCGCATAGTCGGTCAAGCTGAGCTTCGGTGCTTGTAATTTTGGCATGTCGCTGATACTGGGATCTACCGAGGGACTACCATCCGGAATTGAAGAAGATGCCTGCTGGCAGGAAAGTCCTGGTTGAGTGATCAAAGACTCTGATGCTGACATTTTGTTATCATCGAACGGCTCAGGGCCGAGTTTCCACGGTCCAATACGCTACATTATTAGCATCACCCTACAATTTTATCAGTAATTCTGCGAGCATACCTCTGAAGGACAATAATAATTGAGCAAATGCACATAGGAACAATGCTTATTCCGGTTCTGCAACTGCTGGACCAATTCTACAGCCTTGCCTTGAAGTCGTCTTGGGATCGTGATATCTGAGTGTGAACGGGCTCGCTTCGTCTTCTCTAATTTTGCAATCTCATCTTCGCGATAAGCATAATCTTTGAATATATCTTGTCCATTCGGCACGCTCGAGAAGACATTGTGCAAGCCAAACTGTTTGGGAAATATGTATTTCAACACATGAGTAGTGTGTGCGAGCGATGTGGAAGAAGGGAAACGGCTCAGAACATCTGCAATGTTAGCCAAGGGGCCAAACTATTGATCTTGGCTGACTCACGACTCTTCATCCCAAACTGTATCTTTCCTTTCGAATCAAGCACTGGAGAAGCATACAGAATACGTCGGCGATGGAAGACAACAGGAGATGGCTTCTGTGTGGTCGGCTTGCAGTCAGAAGTGCTTGTATTCATTCTCGTCTCCTTGCGATCAGACGCTGGTACAGGGTTGCTTGTCACAGAGGAAAGTGCACATTTTGGAGCCAAATGGCTCTGAGGCACCTTGTTTACAGGTTCAAGTGTTGATAGAGGGAGTCCTAGATTGCCATCTTAGTAGTGTACTGTACTCCCTATGGAGCTGGCTTACCACTTAATTGGAAATAAATTCCTCTTTGCTGATCAACGGCCACAAATATTCCACAATCCAGGAGAAGTTTTAGCATGATCTCTTCTCCGTTGCCTCCCAACAAACCAAGCACTTCTGTCCATGGCGCCCGCTTCAGTTGCTGAACACTGTCATTAGGGAACTGCACCTCGAGGCCTGAGATACTGCATGAGATCGTTCGCTTCCTATGAGCAGGATGCACGCTCTCACGTCTGAAGCCCCGTGTCAATAGATGAAGGGGCCTTTGACGGGAGAATTTGTCACGACTGAACAGAGAGGATATGACGAAATCTACAAGCTTTGGTGTACCGTCAGTACCTATCGAGCCAATCCAGAAAAGTGGATTGTACCTCTGCCTGAGCACATGCTGGTCCAGTGTCCGTGCTGGTTTGTTCAGATCTGGACTGCGACTGCGTAAATGCAGCTAGCTCTTGCCGGCGCTTTTCGTTGCATGTCGGATGCGAGTCGGTCAATATGCCTATCAGCGTCGTATCAAGAAATCTAGCAAGTTGTCCTGAGCCACCATCGTCATTGGTCTCGACAGGAGCCTGCTCATGACGTATTGACACAATTCTCCGACGGCGGGATTTGGAGGATAGGGGTATTTGGCGTAGAAGGTACTGTCTCAGCGTTAAAACCTGAGAATAGTATAGTGAGATGACTGGATGGGAGTGCCCTGCAACATCATCACGAGCCAGGCTGCGCTGTCCCTTGAAACAAGTGGATGCTGGAGAGGTGCATGGCTGCGACAGCCTGTCCAGCGCACGGTCACCCTTAAGGGGTCTCTTCCTCTTCTTGCCCATTAGGAAAGAACTTGAATCAATCAGGACCAGTTCGCTTAATGCAAGCGACTGTCTGCCTCACATGGATGGGTGGTCTGATTATTACATTTGGTATGACGGCCAGGTGTTGTGATATGCCCCAAAAGGGAAGCGCGCTGAGACGCGCTCCGGCAACGCGACAGCCGGGGATCACGGGAGCAGCCGTCCTTACCGACCTTCTGCAACCAGTCAACCAATACCGAATTTGCTACGGATACCCCTACTTACTTTGCTGATTGCTCATTCTGCCATGTCGGTTTGCCAGGGCCCAGGAACTTAGAGCCACTGCTTCTTTACTCAGGGTCATTCGCCAGCATGAACGAAAACCAACCCCTTTAGAGATGACCCAGAGAAGCCGAGTCGAAACCCGCAAGCGATCGAAGAACATGGGGCGCCATGTTTGGGAGTGAAACAATTCTCCACTCGCCAGCGCATATCCCGAGAACAACGGTCAATAATCGAACCTTCCAAGCGGTAGCTCGATAGGAGACGTTCCTTAATGGGAAGCCTGGTAAGGCAACAGAACCACTGCTTCTGTTTGAAGTCGAACTCTATTTAGTTTCTTGCCTGCGTCGTCGAACTATTCGAAACTATCGGCTTCGTTGGACTATTGTTCACTCAAACTTTCAGAGCGAAGCTCCTCCTGAAACGAGTTCTGGGAACGTAGATCGTCAGGGTAAGGCGGCTATCTACAGGCAACTCTCAAGAATAAATTCTTGGGAGCGCGGGTCACACGTTCTGACAGAAAACCGTCAATAGAAGCGGATTATAAAAGGATCCCTTGCTCCATATAGGCTACCACAATCCCACTGGTCATTGGCGGCATCGGATCAGTAATGCTCGCTTCTCGAAGGGAAGATCTGTAAGCGACCGCCGATCTTTGCCAACTCCTGCTCGGCGGTTCATAGTTTAACTGGTTGGTGCACGGAAAGATTTTTCCTTTTCATGACCTCAATGAAAAAACCGACACATCACGAGTTGACCGAGCTAAGGAGCTCTTCACTTTTCAGCCGTAGGATGTGTAAACCTTAAAAGACTACATTGCAGGCGGCAGAACAGAGCCTGGCGTGTCCGTCAAAGGGATGGCGGATGCAAGAAGGCGACATCCGGCGGGCCGTCGGGTGACCAGCTCCTCCGTCAGTGGTTGAAATTGGATTAACTCATTACCATTGCATTATTGCGACCGGGAAGATATATCGTACTAGCAAGGGTGAAGGCGTAAGACTGATTGAGTCTGAGAGGGAGATACACTTACACAAGAGAGGACCACTTGGGTAGATTCGGTTCCGTGTGCCCCACCCATTTTTTTCCTTCGTTTTTCTTTCCTTTCTCTTTTTCTTCCTCTCTCTCTCCACTCACCATGCCTTCATTTTCAAACGGAAAGTGAAAACGACATTGTTCGCTAATGCTGGAACTCGGATCCGGATTGCGGACGAGACTGGGTTGGAAAAGGAAAGAAAATCTATCCAATCAGACTGAATTCCCGTCGATCCCTTGTTCCTGAAGACACCGCCGGATAAGAATAGAAATCATAATGAGGTTGTGTTCAACTATCGTAGCCACGGTGCTCGCACGGACAAGGATGGGGGAAGCTGAGCCAGATCCTTGGAACGACGGCGGTCTAGAAAGGTCGCCGCTAGGCTCTAGCAAGTAGTAGTACCAAGAACCAGCATTCCCGACGGTGGTCAATCAATCGCAATTGATTGCGTCCCCACCGCGTCAGCCTCTCTCGCCTTGCGGAGTCTGGGGGGTTCAGTTTTCTTTTCTGCTACAGGCTGGCTGAAAACCACAGCCCCTGGTAGGCTTGCAAAGCATGTTGACAGACAGTTCCATCTCCTGTCTCTGTCTGTTGGTACCTGATCCAAGTCCCGAAGCCCTGGTTTTGCAAACGCCTCCCCCGGAGGAAGGGGTGAAGTATCGAGAAAAGAGCACTCCGTAGACGAACAGAATGTAGAATGTCGCTGCATGAAACTGCCGATTGCCCCGTATAATTATATCATGCAAATCAGTCCGTGGTACTTTTCATCCTAACTGCAAGGACGCCCAATTGCCCACGGCTGTGAAATAAGCGGTGTAGTGGTAAGGGCCTGTCCTATCTCAAAGGACGTCCTTTGTTAGTCCGTGTCGGCGATGGTATCTTAGCAGTGCCGGTAAAAAGGACGGGACTTGTTGAAAGCAGTCGAGGTTACTCGTCCATTCAGATTGCAACACGATGCTCCGTACTAGTGTCACGTATGAGTACAAAGTATATCCATCCACGGAGCACTCTAAACTAAATTAGACTCTTCCACGACCACCCAAGACCGGGCCTAGTGGAGCGAAGCAGGTACGTCATGATTATTGTTGCAGGCGGTGACATGCGAACGGGATATTGACAGATGCATGCTACATACCAGAGCAGAAGCAATAGACTCGACTGCTATGCGTCCCGCAGGCATAATCTGCTGCTTCGGATCAATTTAACCAGTAGCGATTCATCTCTGAAGACTGAAGGACAATCGGAAAAATCAAAGTCACTGTCAGCCGTACTTACGGCACTGGATAAAAATAAGGCAGACTTGTCAATGATTATGCAAACCAACGAATCTACATGGGTTGTGCAGTTGGTTGGTGTGTGTGGAACAGAATTCACACTTCGTGTATGATAAAGACACATTGGCAGCAGGTCGGCTGGTTCGGGATAGGCTGATAAGGCGCGGCACATATCCTTTCTACCTCATGAGGACTTTCCGCAGGTAGTAGTACTTAATCTACTAGACCTACAGCAGGCCAATAGTATGGCTCGTTCAGGTGTCACAATAGGCACTTTTATGTATTATGTCCCACTCGAATACACCTATAAAGGCATGCTCGTGTCGTTGGGACTGGCTCGATGTAGTTATTCCGACTCACCGACATGGCAGATATGACCCCTTTCCTCCTCCCTTGCTCCCACGGTGCCACTGTCAAACGGATGGGAAAGGCAGAGACGGAGTGCACTTTCTATCCAGGAGGGAGAAGACGGATGATCACGGGGGATATCCACTTCAATCATCCCATGAGAGGAGTCACATCTCCTATACGCAAAGGTGCCACCTACCTTTCAGGGATAGACAAATTGATAGTACTAGCAATAGTAGGTATTTTCTGATTCAACATCGTAGATTGTATGCTATTATCTGTCACGTCTTCATGGAAAGAAAAGTACTCTTCCATGCAGTAACTGACTCGAGCAATCAGACAGTGGAACTTCATCGGCTGGTTTAGAAGCATCAGACAATAGATTACTGTATTGTGTATGTAAGTCGTATGCAGTACGCACCCAATACGTAAGGTACAAGGATGATGGGTTAAGCATTGAGCACAAGCATATCATAAAGCGAACATGGTCATCAATGATCCTATACATTTGCCAGAGAAAACAGGACCCAACGTAGACATTGCCATTTTTAAACCGAACAAGGGAAATTTCGACGAAGGAGAAACCCCTCAACTAATATCTTTCTTTCCCGAGAAGATTGGACGACCACGGGCTTGAGAAGAGTAATCAAACAAAGACTGGCGCATGAGACCGAGTCCCATGGTACGCAACGCAGGGAATGAACGGCCGGATCATGTAATCAAACTCTCTGCCCTTTGCATTTCCCTTTTCTTCCCTTGTGTCAAACGATCTAGAAGAAATTTTCTTCTCTAGAACGTCTCCTGATCCGAAGACTGATAAGGCGCTAGCATGCCTCGCAGCGGATAGGTCTTTCCCTTCACCATATAGCCCTTCCTTCTGCCTCACTAAATGCAGACTGCGGGAAAGCCGGCCACTAATCGGTGGGATCGGCAGTAAATGGTGATCTAGATAGTAGATAGATCTTCAAATTTTGCCAGTCTGATTCCCTCCCCCCTGGGGCTGTTATCTCTGTTTACAATTTACATACAGGGAAGGCCAGGATGTGGCCACAAGATGGATCAAATACCGACTTTTCTCGAACTATTCAAGCGAATGAATGAGTTTACTAGTCGGCTAGTTATCTATCAACTCTAATCTGCTTCGTCATCTAAGCACATTAAGCCGTCTCTCAAAGATCTAAGACCTGGACTAGACCGCCGGCTAGTGTCCGTTCTCCGTAGCGAACAGGTCGTAGTACTTAAGTAAGTGGCCAGGAGTTTCAGGTATTGACAATACCGTACACAGCGAATCTTTCCTTTGATGGACCAGAACCTTTCGGATGTACAGGCCCATTTTTTCGGGCCTGAGTGGGAGGGGGGAGGGGGAATGAGACTGAATGGGCATCAGACATTGAGACCCTCTTTTACTTACCCTTTTACTGCTCTTTTCCCTTTTCTCATTCGATGTCTTGTGTACGATTCATTCGTCTTGAATTTTCTCGGCTAGCTTGGGTTGGTTTTATTACTTAGTTATGTCGTTTTGAAGAATCATCGCTTTATTGCACATCCATAGTTAACCGTAGGATGCATCCTTGGGTTGGCTCCAGCTTTCCGATTGTCCCTCTCTCTTTCTCTCTTGTTCCTCTTTCCCCCCCTCCTCTGCCTCCTCCAATTAATTAATTTGTTCGCCGGCCCCTAATCCACCTTCTCCGCACCCACACCCAAAACTGTCGCAGCTACTAATTAATACCCAATTTAGTATGGAGTAATTCTTAGTAGGAGGGCCATCGTAAGTAACTTAGCCTGCTAAAACTAGATCGAAAAAAAAAAAAATAAAACAAATAAGAAATAAAAAATAAAAATAAAAATAAAAAACGGAAAAACCAAATAAAAATAAAAATAAGTAGAAACACGGACACTTTCAAACAGGGCTGCTGGTTGTTGGCCCACCTGCAGCCCTTCTCAATCGACAGGACCATCAGGCCGATTCTGGGCTCGTCGCCCATGATTTCTATTTGATGAGTATCATGTTGCTACTGACCCTACCTGTTCGTCATCCCCGTTCTCTATTCCCTACTCTTTCTTTCTTTCTTTCTTTCTTTCCTCCTTCTTTTTCCCTCGTCTTATTATTATTATATTATTATTACTGCAGTCTTACCCTGTCACTTTGACCTCAGCAAACCCCTCCCCCGACCCGCTTGTAACGGACCTTTTCGCTTTTCCCCCTCCTACTCCTCCTCACTCCCCTGTTAGACGCCGTGCAAACATTCGTCCCGCCCGTCTTACTTGGGCCTGTCATCAGGGTTCCCTTTTCCTTCGTTCCGCCTGTGCTGTGTCATTGTTCCTCTTAGTCGTTGTCCTTCCCAACGGAATTTACCTTCCCACCCTACCTTGTTCACACCACACCCTCCCCTGGAACTTGTCCCGATAATCATCCATCGGGCTTCGGTTTCCTTCGCCTCTTTTCCATTTGGAGGGGTTGGTCAATAGTGGGACAATTCCTCCGGTCCTTAGCAGACGGGTCGAGGATCGTCCCCCACTGCTGGCTTGGTGATCACATTTGATCTCAAATATGACGCCGTGCTCGGGTGGTACTACCCGGTGACGATTGTGCCTTGTAGTTCTGGCCGGTTAACCTGCAATAGCATCTGTGACCTACCAGCTGTGAACAACGCATCGCAAGATTAGCACCCTTGAACTGGAGCAATCACAGCCAACCAATCTGCTGGGTACTTCCTTTCCCTTTTCATTCTTTTTCTAATTCCCCATCATTATGATTCCTTCGAGAAATACACAAAGGAGCATCCCGCTGATTCTCTGCCTGAAGAATGCAAGATGTCCGAGGGTGATGTCGAGCACGTTTCTGGCCTCTTTGACGGCAGTCCCCGTCAGTTCCAGCGCCTATCCTCCCAAAGCACCACCGACTATTTCTATGACGCCCTGTCGAATGGCTCTCGCGAAGACCATCTAGCCGCCCTGTCCTCCACTCCTGTTCCTCTGTCCGGTAAAGCGTATCCCACTCAGCCGGGTCTCACAAACCTGCAACCTTTCCCTACACCTACCAGCATACCCCCGGCAGATCATCCCAACAGTTACGATCGGTCTTCACCTGATCCAGACGACTATTATCGCCCACACCTGCCCACCGTGGCCACAAACGACGAGCAAGATCTCGACCTGAGCGGCGGTCATCCCATGGTGGAAGTGGGCAGTGACGCAGCCGCAGATAACCACCCCCCGAAACCTTTCCAACGTGTGTCTTCAGTACCGATACACTTGCTCGAATCCACGAATACTAGTCTGGGCCAGTATCGTTCCGCTTCCGATTCATCATATAAAGGCGTTGGGCACGAACCTGCCTGGGGATCATCGGTGCGGGCCTCGGCGGCGAGATCGGGGCAGACATCCTTCAAAGATCTTATCAACAAATTCAACAACAACGTCGACCAAGTCCTTCCTGTTCCTTCCACATCCTCAGTCCGGTCGCGGGTAACCTCGAGAGCTGCCAGCCCGACCAGTCCTACCCAGTATTCTTCGCAATCTAGAGCCCTCCCTCGCCAGCGCGAGACACCCAACCTTTCGTCGAGGCCACAGTCTGGCCACTGGCAACCTAGGAGTGTATTCGACACAGAGTCTTCGCCAGACCTTCTTGCAGCTTCACTGAGGACGGCTAGTATTGATGGCAATCATTCGAGTAACTTCGCTCCATCAGATGCGATCCCTCGACGACCTACCCTTGGCGAACCGCTTCGAATTGACACGAGTCCGCAGATTCCTGGATATGGAACTTTGTCGACGATACGGCGTCGAGGTTCTGACGGGATCATTCCTAGCCCGAATCCAGCTTTCCTAGACCCTTTCGATCCGTCGGCTGGTGTGACGCCGCTGACACCCACTGCGTGGTACCTAGGACGCACACCATTTTTGGAGTCCGTCAGTACCGGGTCAAATACAAACACTCACCGGAGGACGAAGAGTGATATTCCTGGAAATTGGTCGGTCGAGGTGGGAGCGAGTCCTCCCGACTCCCACATGGCGGTCCCGGCCCCCTTGCAGGCCAATTCCCAAGCATGCCCAGACAACAGCCCGCATACCCCAAAATCACGCATTCCGATTTCATCCCACCGCTTGAACTCGCCTTCCGTTTCAGACGAGTCTCCTCCCCCTTCAAGAGCCGGCACTCATTCCGGAAACCGTACTGCCGTTCAAGTCCATCTGCCACCAAAAGGCACCAGCCGCCTTCCCAAACCCTCGCCCAAATCCCCGCGTGATATGCCGAAAAATGATCAACTACCAGGTTATGCTGCATCACCACGCGCAAAGCGGGAAATGGCTCATGGTCGGTCGCGCCAGCAGCTTCCTGAAAGAAATGCGCTATTAGAAGCCTACATTGCCGCTCCTCCTCCGAAAAAGTCACCCCCTCTACGCAGCTCGCGACCACGCCAGCCTATAGCACATACTCAATCGTCTCGTTCGAAAGTAGTCGAAACGGTATCAAACTTTCAGAGGCAGATCAACCGCGATCGGGAATACAGGAACTCCCGGGCGCGCGAACGAAGATTGCCGGAGCTCGGCCATGTCGATTTCGCGACTAGGCGACAGAAGATACAACAGGCTTTCAACCGTACCGTCGAAGAGAATGAGCGAAAAGAGGAGAAAGCTGCTGAACTCAGACGTCAAGCAAATGCCCAGGAAGATAAGCTCGAATTCGCTCGCGCATCCACCCCTGAATCACCGCAACCCACGGAGAGTGAAGTACAGCCTTCTCCCCACGCCGAGGATAGCGCGACCGTCATTGAGGAGGCAGCAGAAGCCCCGACTGAGGAGGTAGACCAGGTATCCGAAACGCAGGACTCTCGGCCACTTCCCGAGCTCCATGTCGACACTGACATCCCTACTACACTGGAGAATGTAGACGGCGCTTCTGATGCACACCTAATGACCATGGATTCCCCAACTCTGGGACACGCAGCGATAATAGAAAGGGACTTGACATATGAGCCCAAGTCTCACGCTCCCCCCGCGTCTGATGTTACCTCGGAGTCTAACGAGACCCATGTGACTGCTTTCGATACCGAGCCCCAAGTTGAGCTGTCACGACAAGACCTACATACTTCTCACAGGACTCTGTTGAGTCAGATCATGAATATTCGCGAGTCCAGTCCAAGCAGCTCGTCATGCGATGAGCAGGAGTGTAGCTTCTCCGAGAACGATGAGAGGGATGCCTTGCCTACTAGGTTAAGAAATGCTTTCGCTTTCGATGATCAAGCAGACAGCAGCGATAACCCGGAGTCATGTGATATTTACATGCGACATGGTCCGATGAACGGCGAGACATCTAATCGTTGGAGCATGAGTTCTTGGTCTTCATCCCTTCGCAATCAGCACTCCGTCGACGAGCAATGCGACCACAGTGGAGATGACTTCTCCCAGCTACAACAGTGCACTGAGGACAGTGAGGTCGCGACTCAGTCCTGCTCTGCATCTTCTAGCACCCCGTCAATAACCGACCATCAAATACTGCGCTCCGCATCTCCAAAGAAGAGAAGCGCGAATGATGGGAGACAAGAAGCGATGTCTCACCCGAATGGCTTTGCATTTTCTAACGCTTCCAGCTTAGCAAGGCTAGGTGGCTGGGATTCGAAGAGGGTTGGACAACTCTATCTGCAGGAGCTGGCAAATGGCAGGAGTCATGGGCTTCCGTTGCCAGCAATCCGCGCCTCTCCGGAGCCATCACAGACATATTCGGACAAGAAGGTAGATCAGGGATCCGACAGTCTAACTGATGATCCGGTCGTTGTATCTCGTATACGGGACCCTCCTGCTTTGGAACGACCGGGACATACAGCAAGTCTAGTTTTGCGTGACGACTGGGAGCATGCCTCCCCTTCGATTATGGACTGGATGCAAGTTGCTGCTGCTGAGGATGAGTCTGCTTTGCAGGCACAAAACGGCGACACAGGTCCTGTACATTTTAGTGCTACAACTCCCCGGCTGGTTACCCCGAATCATCAATCTTCCTGTTCAGAAGAGGCCGATGAAGGATTAGGTCTGGCTATCAAGGTGCATCAGCCTCAAGAGCTTGACTCCCACGAAAAGCAGTTGCCGTCAGTCCCTGAGCCACCAGACGAAGACATACCGACCTTGAATGTCGCCCCGCAACAGCGAATGCAACCGCCTTCAAATGTCAATGTCACAGAGCAACGCCTAAGTACTATCATATCTGGCATCTTTGCGCCATTGGATCCTGTTCAGAGCACTGGTAGTAGCGAGGATTCCTCTCTTCGCAGGCTGGACCCTATACCGTCTCCCCAAACATTTGACTCGTCTTCCACCTCGCTGGTTCCTTCAACATCAGAGCCATCCCGCCTTAAGGCACAATCACCATCTCCGGAGCAACGTCGGCTCAAAAAGCGCCGGCATGTGATCAAGGAACTTGTCGATACAGAGTACACTTTCGGACGAGACATGAAAGTCGTCGACGATATCTACAAAGGAACCTCGAGTTCTTGTTTAGATCTTTCCTCGGAGGACGTCAAGATTCTATTTGCGAATTCCGATCAGGTCGTGCAATTCTCGATGGCGTTCCAAGATGCACTGAAGGAGGCAGCTAAGAGCGTTTACGTGATGCCCAAGTCCCAACGCTGGAGTAGCAAGCGTAGTGCCCGCCATCACACTTCTAGGACTGACTCCGAGAATTCGAGCACGGCGGGCATATCCGACCTGGACAAAGATAAGATGACATACATTGGTCAAGCCTTCATGAATCAAATGAGCTACATGGAGAAGGTCTATGCGGATTATTTGAAAAATCACGATGCTGCTAACAAGAAGCTCCAGACACTGCAGCGCAACCCTAAGGTTGCTATCTGGCTCAAAGAGTGCCGAGACTGGGCTTCAGACCTAACGACGGCGTGGGACTTGGATTCTCTCCTGGTGAAGCCAGTGCAAAGAATTCTGAAATATCCCCTTCTGTTGGCCGAACTGCTCGACTCCACGCCCGACGACCATCCCGACCACCCGGCACTTGTCAATGCCCTAGAGGAAGTCACTAATATCTCTGTGCGTATCAACGAGATGAAGAAACGGGCAGACCTGGTGGGGCAGGTGGTCGGCCGCAAACGCAAAGAGTCCGATGTGAGGGCAGGCCTGTCGAAGGCTTTCGGGCGACGTACCGAGAAGTTGAGGCAGCAGGTCGGCCTCTCTGACATGGTCGAGGACAAGGAATACGATACACTGACCCAGAAGTTTGGAGACAACTTCTTCCAATTGCAACTTGTCATGCGCGACGCAGAAATGTATACACGTGAGGTGCAGACCTCCATGGACGGACTCAATGAATTCGTTGAGGCGATCCAAGGGTTCGTCAATGTTTCGCCATCTAATTATGCAGAGTTGGAAGGAAGGTGGCGTGAGTTGAAGACCACTGTTGCGGACATAATGACCGTGGCATTGCCTGAACACGTAAGTGGAGCCTCCCAGACTCTAACCCCTTTGGTAGTGCTTTCATAGCTAATTCGTGAATATCATACAGATTGCGGTTGTGCGAAAGAGTGTCATTGACCCGATGGTCACGTTGCTCAAGCTCCACGATGGTCCTCAACGAGTAATGAGAAAGCGCGATAAGCGCCTCATGGACTATGCCCGCTTCAAAGGCGCGAAAGAGCGAGGTGACAAGCCTGATAAGAAGACTACCGAACAAGGAGAGCAATTTGTGGCGCTCAACGAGACCCTCAAGGATGAGCTTCCAAAGCTCTACGCCCTGACTGCCAAATTGATGGAGGCGTGTCTCAAAAACTTCGTGCACATACAGACTACTTGGTTCCGGCAGCTACAGCACAAGCTTGGTTCTCTATTCGAGTCATTTCCGGAAGACATCCAGAAGATCGTGGAAGACTGGTCCTGCAATTTCAACTTCTCTGAATCGCAGGTCCTATCACTGGGCATCTGCAATGGCTCCCTGCTTGCTGATACTGTCAACCTTGTCAACTTCAATACGCCTTCAACAGGGGCCACCATCAGCTCGCCGCGGCGGCCTTCTACGGTCAATAGTGTTAGTACGCGCGTGGGATCGACAATGGAGGATTCGCCCAAGGTGTCTCAAGAGTTTGGCAATGGCAGTCATTCGTTCCACTCGCCCAGCTTTGATACTCAATCTCAGGTATCCACTGGCCGCCACCGGGCAGATTCCACCTTTTCGGGCCGTACGGGGCATGAGACGGCCGAGATCCCACGAAGTCAGATGCTGCAGCAGATCACTAGCGCTTCAACCACGTCTGTGCCAGCTTCGACCTCCACCACCGAGGCATTCCCGAGCCTACCCCGGCTCAGTCTCGACTCACCGTTCCTGGTGGACGTTATTGGTCCTTCGAGTGATGGGAACGATGGCGCAAAGGCCGAGGAGCTGCCCATGTCTCCTGACGGACGGTACTCGGGATTTTTCTCATCAGCGATGCCAATGTCAGACAACCCCCAGGATAACGCACCAACTCATAACGAACCTCCCCATGAGCCAGCGGTGCTCTTCCTCGCGGCAAGCATCTATGAGTTCAATATCGACCGCGCACGACGCGAGGCTGGCTATCCTTACCTGACTTATGTGGTCGGAGAGATTTTCGATGTCATTGCGGAGAAAGGAGAGCTCTGGCTCGCCAAAAATCAGGACGACCCTACCCATCAAGTTGGATGGATTTGGAATAAGCACTTTGCAAAGCTTTCAGCCTGAGATGCAATTTGCAATCAACGTCCTTTATCATTATATTTCCCACGGGGAAATTTCTGACAACGTGCGCCAATTTTGGCAGGGGCCTAGGCCCCCAACGAGCTCTGTTTACCAGCTCGTCACCCTCTGTTTTTGGCCCATGTTGACCTGGCGTCTTCTACGGCGCGCTACCTAGCATTTGCCTTATAATCTGTTGTTTCTTTGTTTGCTTACGTTCAGCGGGTCGGGTAGGATATAGTGTTGGCGAACTATCTGGTTTATCTGATTTGATGTTATGTTGAATGTTGAATCTCCGGACTGACTGGATGGAAGATCGGTGACCATGTGTGCTCCAGGAGAGTTTGATATTACTTTCCTGACAATTGTTGCGTCGGACGAAAGATGTTAAGATGTACTTTTAGATACCCCTTGCTTGAAGTGAATGAATTGCTTAGCGTGTGCCTCTTACAATATTATTCTTCATATATAGAACCCATGTTTACCCAACAATCTATGCATCTTCAATATCCTTAGTGGAATAAGAAAATAGGCTATCGTAACAGGGCTGAACCACGTGAGCGCACCGCCACAGGTGACGTCTGGCGGCGCCTTCCCCAGAGTGGCTGAGAATGGCTGATGAGGATCGCCGGCCGACGAGGAACTTGCACCTTCGCTCGTCGACCATCGTCTCCATTTCCCCCAGTTCGTCAATTGCTGGAACTAGCATCATCTCCCTTGCTCTGATTTTCTACCCTTCGCAGTTGACCCCCGACGTCCTGCCGTATGTGATCCAAGCACCACAGCCGGGGATCGTATCGACCAGCCGATTCCCACCTGTCTCTATTGATCCTCCGCCCACGGAGACCCACGGACCAGGCAGACGAATACCAACATCCCCTGCCTAGGCCTTCGTCTACTCATTCGTCTTGCGGGCTGTCGCAATCACCCAAGGATACCCATATATAGCCTTTCTCGAGCCCTGTCTCCCTCCTTGTCGGTTGTGATCGGAACCTTATTCCTCGACACTTCGGAACCTCGGTGGACGAACAATTAGATCGACGGCCAGAGCGACCAGTATAATCTGCTTGGAGTGAACACGATGCGTGACGGCGGCTTGGGAAAATTACAAAGGAGGATGAGACGATTTGGCGACACTGTAGGTCAACGGGAGTTCTCTGTCCCTCGTCCTTTGCCCTTGACATGTGCGGGGTCTTGTCGGCTTGGGAAACAGACTAAACGTGGCGTAGTTGAACCCAGATGATGCGTATCTAAGTTGTAAGTTCTCTCGCTTTCTTTCCACACTGCATGTTGAGAGATGTAGATGAATCCTAATGCTTCAACTTGATAGATCATGATGTCCGATGTACGTTACTCTGTCAGAATAAAGATACAAATCCACCGCCGTTTGACTCCTCCTTGATCCCGGTCTCTAACAAACGGATACAGTAACACGAGGGGACATGCAGTCGCTGAAGAATGACTGGCTGACCGATAATGTTCGTGAGATGCTACTATTGATCTACTCTACCGTTACATGGGAAGCTAACAATCGAATCATGATCATAGGTCATCTCTTTCTGGGAGGAGTAAGTTACCTGCCTACCTGAAAAGTTCCCGTCCATGGGGCTCACTAGATCAACAATGGTAGATACCTTGAACACGAATTTCTCGTCCAATATAGGTCCTCCAACATCGTCCTCCTTCGACCGAGCATGTCATTCATGATCCTGCAAACGCCAAACCCACATTCTCTGCGTGAAGCGCTTCCCGATTTTTCTCGAACTACGCATGTCTTCCTCCCTATCAACGATTGTCGCAATGTCACGGAAGCAGAGGGAGGCACACACTGGTCATTATTATTGATTTCGATTGTGGACGGGATAGCGTTTCACTATGATTCGCTGCCACCGGGCAATTTCTGGGAAGCCCGGACGGTGACAATGAAATTCGCGGCATTACTTGGACGACCCATTAACTACGTTCATTTGGAGGATTCGCCAGTACAAGAGAATGGGAGCGACTGTGGCGTGTTCGTCTGTTTGAGCATGCGCCATTTGTTACTGAAGAGATTGCTCACTGCCAACGCCAATGAGAAGGTCAGCATGAGTCTTGGTGGGCGCAAGGTTGATGCTCGGTCGGGACGCAAGGAAATGGCCAAGATTATTGAAGGCTTCCGGAAGGAGGGCGAAAGACGAAGATCGTACGTGATTATTGCTAATATTAAAGACTCGCCTGATCTAGTACTGACAATTAAGTGCAGAGCGAGTCTAAGCCCCCTTGGCAAGAAGTCGACCAGTCCTCCACGGATCGAATGATTTCACGATCAATTGGAACAAGTCAGGGTCGGCGTCGGAAAGGTTTGTACATTGGGAGTTATTGATACCAGGTCTCGGATACTGCATACATAAGCCAGAGGGATTGATTTGGTTGTGCTGGGAACTCGGGCGTGATAGCGCCTTGGAAGCCCTTCTGGCTACGCATTCTTCTTGTATTGTCGCTGCTGTACTTGCGCTGTGTTATCATTGTTCTTCTAGTTATTAGTTCGGGCAGCATTTCCTATTGATTGTTGCATTTTTATGTTATGATATGATATGGGGTAATGAGAGACGTGCGTTCGACTATGATGGCTGCCTTTAGTTTGTTGCATTCTAGCTTAAGCACTGTTTCTGATTATTTCCGACTCGCGTGTTTGTGTTTGGATGGACTAGTTACGTTACTGTGCCATGGTTGAATTGATATGTCTATTGTGGTGGTTTGTTTAGTATGTCTTGAATACTATATATATAACTACCATGTTCTTCAGTTAATATCATACTATACCACTCTGACCAAAGAGACACGCATACGGATATATATACTGAGTAGTACTGTGAGCACATAACCATCTCTCACTCTGATTTCCAGAAATTGCCTTAGTTTACCGCAGCCAGTGCTTTAACGTATCATACTGCTTCACAGCAGTCTCATACTTCCCATTTACTATGAGCCATCTAATATCAACAGTAGTTTGACATTGCCACTCCATTTCTCATGTTGATTTACTATTATAAAAATAACTTGAAAATGAACGCGCAGCCAACGGTTTTCATGAAATCGCACCGCTACGGTCAAACTACTACTAATATGGAATCTCCCAACCCTAGATACTCCACCCTATACTCACTACTACACCATGATACCATAAAAACTGCCCACCCAGACAGCCATACCCATCTCCTAAGGTAGCTTGTTTACCCTTCCCCCTCACATCCTCCTTCCTTCCTTCTCACTCACTACCTCCTCCCACCCTGTCTCCCAGGAAACACGTTCCTTCCTTACATCAGACTCATGAATCTGGAGTAGCGAATGAAGTGGGCTGTCTCCACCATAGGGCTGATGATCTACACACGCGGGATTGACGCCAACTGCTTTGACATGAGCTTGGCTTGACTTGGCTTGACATGTTGCTGTGCGTGCCCTATGTAGGTATATCATGTAACCGGGAGGATGGTATAGTCGTCGTGCTGCTTCTGGCTCTACCCCGTGAGCTTCCAGAGTCTCTATACAGAGCACTTCCTACCTTCTCCTCCAGGAGGAGACCCGTTGCATGGTAACGGTCTGTTGTTCCCTCGTATGGTCCTTCCTATATCGTGGTCATTGTCGCCGTTCGCTGGCATTCTACCATGGCAACGAGCTGTTCCTACCTTTTCTGTACAGCGTTCCTTCTGCTTCCTGCTCATGAAGAGTACCTGCCTCGACAGTAAATCCCCCCAGTACATAATGGCCCTCTCCCCCCCGGCCCTCTCTCTTCTCTTCTCTTCCCTCCTCACACCGTTTGGTCCCTTGATGCTAGTACTGTGATTTATCACTTTGCGTCCCCTCAAGCCCATTCGTGTTTAGCTCAGCTTTTATAGCTTCTGCTTCCGCTGCCTTGTACCTTTCTTTTCTTCCACCTCGCCTTCCCCTTACCCTTCTTATCCGTTTTTTGACCAGGTATTCCAGATGACTCACCTCTGGATACCTGGGTTGCCCTACAAGAAGGCTCCCGTAGCCGACCGGTTCAAGTCGAGTGCGCCATTCCTTTCGTTTCCCACGGCACACACGGCGCGCTTCGTCTTTCGCCGGAACTACGAGATCACCTCTTCCCGCTCCTTCCAGACAGCCTCGTCCCCCCGAACTGTCGTCCGCTCTCTCCTGCCAGTCTCGACTGGTGTCCGTTCCCTCCCCCGCAAGTCAGCTTCGCCTGACGTCCGTTCTTTTGCCCAGTTGCGACAGGGCTCGCAACTGCCGGTCTCCGTGAGACCATCCACTCCTTCCCCTGCTTCCCCACCTGTCCCAGCTGCCACTGGGGCAGGGCGTTCGCTAACAGGCTCCGTCCTTTCCTCTCGCTTGGAGGAAAGGCGGGCTTCTCGACAGGCACGCTCTCGGCCTTGGGCTGCTACACCCAAGGTCGAGGGGCACAAGAAGTCCCCCGAGGGACACCGGTCGACAACCCGCCCTTCCCCCCGAGTCGAACGAGCCTCTGGTCCGTCCGACCGGGCTATTCGCAGCCCACATATGGCGGCTCGAACTCGAAGAGCGCTCAGGCGGATCGACGAGGTTCTTGCTAAGCCTGCTCTGGTCAAGGCTGGGGCAGGTGAACGTAAGGCCAAGTCCGTGAAGTCGGTTCGTTTCGGAGAGGACACCGTCATCCCTGTGTCCTGTTGGATAGTTCGGCGCGAGCATGTCTTTCCGGCCCCGCTGGCGGCCATGGGTCACCTTCAGGGTTGGAAAGTCACTCCTCGTGCGGAGCCAGACGAGGAGGGTGAGATGGAAAAGTACACCACATACTGGGGTTCAGACTCATATGTGATGCTTGACATCCACTCTGCCTCGGAGCCGTGTGGACGTGACGGATGCCAGTACCAGCGCCTGGCTAGCATTGCTGCCAGGAGGCCAGGCTGGGGTCCGGCCACTGTCTTCTTGGCTTGGAACATGCTGAGAGAGAAGGTCCGGCAACGTGGTGGATTCCGGCTGTGAGTCGTTGTCCTCCCCGCTCCTGTCACTCATTTTACCCTTCTCTACCCACATTCGTTTGTCTCCTTGACTTTCTTCAGTCGTCCTTTCATTCTCGCTTTTCCTTTGTCAGCGTCTGTTCTGGACTGGCTCTGGTCTGTTTTGGGGGAAACAGACCATCCAGGTTATGCTGATCGGGTAGCAGATGCTGGCGTGTATCCTGCTGTGGTATTGGTGGCGCATTATGCACCGAAGAGAGGTATGTCTGTCACCAGGGAGAGTGGAGCGAATACTGACGATTGTATAGGATTCTGGAGCGAGGGTTCCCTAACCACGAGGGGTAATGACGCACACCTGTACGCAGGGTTTAAGTCGTAGTCCCTTACTCGGAGCGTCAGCAACCCGTTGTAGCTCCCGACGAACGAGACGAGACGGACGAGACGAGACGATGCCGAACGACGACCGACCGACCAGCGACAGCGACATCGACAAGACAACGACAACGACGACACCGATTCGCCGGAGGCCGATTGGGGGGTAAGTAGCTCCTTATTGACATAGAGTAGAGAAGAGAAGCTAACAGCATGTAGATGGTGGTGGGCCATCGACAATACGACAATATCGACGCCTCCTTCGACAGACGACAATCAACGACGACGACGACGACGACGACGCGACGACAACCGATGGAGCTACACCGGGCGGCTAATTACGCTTCACCGGAAGCGAAAGAAGGTATGTGTTACTTCCAGTATAGATTAGTATATACTAACTGAAAAGGTAGACGGAATATTACCCAATCATGCGGATGTACTGGGAGGGAATATTTCGTCTTGGGTTGAGTTTGGTGGCTGGTGACGGAGAGGTTGGAGGTAAGCAGCTGCTTGGGATGATTGAAGATGAAGAAGCTAATGAATGAATTAGATCAGGGAGATTGTTGATCAGGAGGATAGCTGGACTGAGTCCAAGGGGAGTGAAGTGGGGTGGTATTGTTAGTAGATAGTTCAAAGACCATGGCATCATGGCACATTTGCTTGGGTTTATGGCGTTGGGTCACGGTTCATTATTATCTTTCTTTTGTTCATTTCATATGGCCCGGGCGTTTGGTGTTATTGACTTTTGTTTTTTTCCTATTCATTTCTTTTGTTGGTGTTGACGAGCAGGAATTCCTGTCTCTAGTTTGCTGCTTCTTTTTTCTGGAATGGATCGTCATTGCTGTTCCATCAGTGTTCAGTGTAGAGCAGAAATTGTAGTTGTAGTTGGTGGAATGACTTCAGTGACTGAGTGGTGAGCAGATGTATTAAGAACTTAACCAAGTATGCAGCAACCCTAATGCAGACAATAAGATGCACCAATCCAAGAACAGCATAAAGCATGATAGAAAATACCAAGTCAACAAACAAGATCAATCAAACAATGCAACAAATGCAACACAAACAACAAACTCCACGCCTCATCCATTCTCCTAGTAGATGGATAAACCAAAGAATGAAATAGACAAACTAAGCCATCAACTCATTCCACAAATCCGCCGCATCCTCCCCAACAAGCCCACTACTATTCACCTGATCCTCCGCCGCATAGCACGCATCAACGGTCTCCTGCGGCGCATTACACGGACTAATCAACCGATTACACACAAAGTTCATCAAGGTATCGATGGTCGTGGAACTCCCGTGCTCGAAATCCACTTGGTTGTTCGTGATGAAACTCCATTCGGTCCGTCCGTCTAGGCCGTATTGGTATGAGATGCTGGGGTCGGTGCATTGGCCGTAGTCGTTACCACTGGAGGTGTTGTTGTCATCGCCGTCGTCGCCGTCGTCACCGCCGGGGGTATCGGTGGGGCAGGTTGTTGTGTCTGTCACTGTTGTTGTTGCTGTGGCAGTCACTGTTGAGGCAGGGAGGGTTATAGTCGATACAGAAACATCCGTCTCTGTCGCTGTCACCGTCTCCGCAGGGAGTGTCACAGTATCCGTATCCGTCTCAGTAATAGTAGCAGTAGCAGTCAAAACATCCGTCTCGGTAATAGTCGGTCCGGGAAGAGTAATCGTATCTGTGTGTATGATGGTAAAGGAGACGGTGTCTGTCGTTGTGGATACCGCTGTGTGTGTCTGTGTTTCTGTAGTGGTCACTGGGGGTTGAGTGATGGTGGATGTATCGGTGATAGTGGCAGTGATGACATCTGATTCGGTTTCTGTCACTGTTGCTGTTTGGATTGCTGTTGCGGTTGTAGTCGAGGTGATGGCTGGGCCGGGGATTGAGATTGTTGCTGTTTCTGTTGTGGTTTCTGTTGCTGTCGCTGTTGTTGTGGCTGGACAGTCGGTTGGTGGTGGGATGAGGCCGGCGGTGTTGGATTCGGTGGTTGTGGTGGTCACCGTGATTACTTGCGTTGGGCTGGTATTCCATTAGTTTTGGTTTTAGTCTTGGGGATAACATTAGAGGTGTCTTACCCCGGCTCAATGGTCGTGATGGTGATGGTTTGCACGTCGTTGTCGTTGTTGTTGTTGTCGCAGCCGTTGCCGTGGTGGTGGTCATCTTCATCGTCATCATCATCAGAATCAGAATCAGAGTCAGAATCGGAGTCGTCGTCGCTGTCACTGTCGCTATCGCTATCGCTATCCCAGTCACCATCATCATCGTCATCATCATCACCCTGGTCTTTATGATGATGTTTATGACGAACTTGGTCCGTGATATCGTTGTTGTCATCGTCATCATCATCATCATCATCGTCATCCTTCCCGCCGTGGATGTTCATAGTGCAGTCCTGACCATCGGCACAGGCGTCTGCATCGGGCACTTGCACGTCCACGTTCACGGCTGTAGGACGCGTCACGGCGAAGGGGAGGGCCTGGAGGAGTAGGAGAGGCAGTAGCCAGGTTGTTTGGCGGACCATGGTGGTGGTGGTTTAGTCTTGAGATGTTCTGTATATTCTTGTGGATGGACTGGATAGTTTTGGAAGTAGTGAAGATAGATGCTATGGGATGAATAGCTTCAATTGGATTGCAATTGCTTGATAGGATATAGAATGATGGTGATATTGCATCCTGGAAAACAAGGAAACCTTATACATCTTTATACTCAACCTCATGGCTACGGATATAATCTCCGTAGGGAGGATATACTATCTCAATGCAGAGTCAAACGATGAAAGCAGGCTTCCTCAGTAAGTATGTCCTGAGGACAGCCACGAATTAGGCGATGAGAGTGAATTCGTCCATTCTCCAGACCATACAGCTGTATGCTATAATGTCGATCGGGGGACATATTTCACTGGTAACACAAGACTTCCTAAGAATATCTGATAAGTTGACGACCCCGTCAAAATTGACACACCCCAGAACACTCAATAACAATCAACAATGCCCTTTGTCACCCGCTTTCGCTGGTCCGGCCAGTTTCTTATTGTAGGGTCGGCCCGTTTCCGGTCCACTACTGCATTCCAGCCATGCTATTAGGCATGTCGGGCCAGTATCTATGCATTCCCTCCCGGAACCGACCCGTACTAGTTATAGAAGATGCAGATACGTACTAATTAATACTTGAATCATATAAGACCGCGGATGTCCTCTGGAAACGGTTCATTCTTCTCTGTTTGTATTAAGAGGGAGATGCGGATGTTGAATATTGCAATCACGCCTTGGCGGTTCCGGACGCAGATCATGATGTATGCATACATCGTTGGTATGCTATGCCATTGTCCCGCGGGGAATTAGCCCCTTGGTCTTCTCCAGTTTGTCCCATCTGGAGTGGAATCTCCGAGTTTCGAGCCAAGTCTAGGGTAAGCTGGTTCTGAATCATGGTGATGTCTTGATCAGCGCTGGTGATGTAATATCCACTTCCTGACAGGATTGCCGACAGGCACGACGCTCTACGTCTTAGCGCCGAGATTAACTTCCCATACCACTGGGTCGGTGGGTACACAGCACCTCGACTTCATCTTTGCCACTTCCAAGAACTCCATATGCAGTCATCAGGTTTGCAGTAAACTACTCAATACTTCATTACTCGCTCCGCGCGCTGACAAGATCAAGGCCAGTTGGGTGCGGCCGATAGACAAATAAAGCGTAGGTACAATGGACGAGAACTCCTGTAGAGGAATTTATAGCCAGAAACCCGGAGCATCCCTCCGACAAGTCAGTTAACAAACAGTGAACCCCGAAACGCCGGCCAATGTTGAGAAATAGACAAAATGCAAAGCGGAAATTGTGTACACAGAGGCATACATGAAAGACAAGAAGAATAAGCACCAAGGTTATAGAACGTTGAATCATGAGCCAGAGTGCCGAGCGTATAATCTATAAGAAATATGGAAGGCCGAACCATGTGTGGAAAGGACAGTGCTAACATATGTGCCAAGAGGACAGACAGGGTGCCAACGGAGGAACTTGCAACAGGGCCGCACGCCCAGAAAATCCCATCACTTCTGATTGGGATATACCCAGAGCCTAAGGCGGAGTAGGCGTTTGGCGGACTTCCTGCTCGTCAGACCGCTGCTTCTCGCGCGTGCGCATATACATTCCCTCCGACGGAGTTTCCGCTGCCGCAGAGGGATTTATCGAGCGGGGAATCGCCTGAGATAGTTGCTGTTGTTGCTGTGCGACAATCTCTCTCGCATAGAACTCCACAAGCATCGTCCCGTACGCTTCAAGCTCTTCAACAGGAATCGATAGGCGGAAGTCGTTCAAGAGTAAGAATTGAAGTTCAAGGTGGTTGAGCTCAACCAACGGCAGTCCGCCAACCTGTAAACGAGTTAGAGATCATCGTCTAATAATATGACATGAGGAGCCACCTTTGCATATCGAGAATTAGTGTAAAATACGTCCGAGAAGAATTTACTGGCACAAGTTACGCCTGCGATAACTAGCCGGTGAATGTTGAAACTATCAACAACGAAAAAGTGGGAGAACTGATCCTCATCCTCCTGTGGTTGGAGAGAGGGCGATATGGACGACGGACTGGACGGGTCTTGGGCTGCGATTCCCGACGACGATGGCGGGGTTACCAACGGCGAGGCTTGTGTCGCATGTGTCGACGACCGCTCAGCCGACGATGGCCGTGAACTGTTGCCACTTGGCACGGTAGACGTGCCATCCCAGCGACGTCGTAACCGGTCGAGCTGGCCCTTGTTGACCAGTTCCGTCATGCGATCAAAATATACCAGCAGACTGAGAAAGACCTCATACGTTGTAGGACAGTACTTGTGTATCCTTGTCAGATAGCTGAGAATACTGATGCTGGGCACATTTTTGCCGTGAAATGCAAGCACACTGGTAGCTTGCGAGCTCAGAGTGGTGGTGCCATCCGGGGGAGGAATGTGTCGATGAACCGACTCGTGATGCAGGTCATTCGTCGTTGTGATTTTCATCAGCAGTCCAGCAACCATCTCGATTATGTCCGTGACCGGCATGGAACTAATCTCGTACTGGCGCTCTTGGGCCCACTGCCCGGGTGCCTGATCCCTCTGCGCGAGGAACTCTTCACTGGCAAAGCTTTGAATGTGTGACAAATCACGGACTTTGATCCGACTCGGAGAGTTGGCCTCCGACCCGCCCAGGGAGCGGAGGGACTGAAAGGTCGGTCTTAGCTGAGGTGAAGCTGGAGAGGACTGACTCCCCATATGCGGTGCCGAGGTTGGTACCGTTGCTGTTGTTGTTGCATGGCTGCCACCAGTGTGATGAGAAGATGAATGTGCTGCAGGATGAGAAGCGGAGCCCGGGCGCGATGGATGGTGGGAGGTGGTAGAGGTCATTGAGGCTGATGGAGGATGAGTGTAGACGGATCCCGGAGTGGCAGAGGACGCTCGCGTGGATGGTTGGGAACTGGGTTGAGAGGGCCGACTGATGTAGGCCGGTACATCATGGATTGGGTGGGAGGGGAGGCGAGTAGAGCCGGCGGCGGAGGTTGACGGCGGGGCTGTGGATGAGGTGGGGGTGGTATTGGACGAGGCCGACCTAGAGCTCCCGGACTCCAGGTGTGACGAAGGGTGGTGAGAGGGCTGCTGATGAGTCGAGGACCGATACACTGATTCTGAGGAAGTGATGGCGCCTCCCAACATGTTGTAGGAGGTATCCATATAATCCGATCGCGGATGGTTTACGACGACCGATCCCATATCAGAGCCGACGGGTTTAGAGGTCAGACGCGGGTGCTTCTACTCGGTACAGGGCCGGCGGCCGAAAGTCAGCGATTACTTTGAAGACCAGTGATGAGGGGTCATGTTATTGGGGGAAGGCCAAACAAGGAACAGATTCCTCCGTAAGGCATCGCAAGAGGGACAAAGCACCAGACGGCGAGAGGGGAATGGAGAGATACCGGCAGGATGATTAGGTTCAGTCAATGATCCAAGAATGGAGGACAGTCTGGATCTGGAAGATCGTGGCGTGGAGGGTCAGAGCACCTGGGGAGGGGAGGGTGTGTATGTAGTAGCTACAAGAGTGAGTAAGAGTAGTAGGAGCAAGCAGTTAAACGTGAACCCGACCCAAGCCTGAAGCGGGAAGGGAATCACAAGCGATAGACAGCAATGGGATGGTCCATTGCGATGAATCAGCGAGGGACAGGACAGGACAGGACAGGACAGAACAATCCGGGGCGAGATGGGGGAGGAATGAGGAGGAGGGATGAGCAGACAGGCACGGAGAGCACTATCAGGTTATAGAAACAAACCGGACTGAGGGGAACGGAGGATAAGGGGAATGGGGATTAGGGTGGCGGAGAAGGATGGGAAAGGTGGATTTGGGGTGAGGGAATGGATGGATGGATGATGCAGGAAGGGAACAAGAGACTCTCGTCCCCGGCAAGGTTGGGGGATCCACACCCGGCCATCGCCCAGTCAATCATCTCCCATCCACCTTTGCCCATGTTACCAACATCCACACCCTCTACATCCCCTACCCCCCAAGTTGATTGATCAAATGGCAGGAGAAGCAAGACGAATAAAGACGAGTATAGTACATTGAGACCTGGAAGGTTCTCCTGACAGGGTTGAGACAGAGCAAGAATGCGACCTGACGAAGATATGATACCATGAGATGATCCATCATCTTTGATTTTCCAACGTACTTACTGGCTATCGACCTACCGGGTATCACTAACTGTTCGACTGGATCTACTCGGGTCCAGGCTGCACCGGAGACATCCTTACTGATTGGTACAGCAGGGTCTCCCCATGAAGGTTCCTTGCAGCGATATCAAGCAAAGTCACCTTACCGACCGCGCAGAATGAGGAAGCCCTGTCGTCATGAGATCGCATCAACAGCCACTCTTAATACCTGCTTATCTTCACCAACTACCTACTACTTACCTGATAACTACGGAGTAATATTGTGACTGATTGATTATTATCTATCTATCATCCCCAGAAGAAGGATAAGGCGAGACTGCGACTAAGAAAAGAAGGAGACGCACACCCTCACCCGACTCACTGTTCAGGCCTAAACCAGATAGTCGCATTTAGGATCATCCTCTGCTTGGGGGGATGCAATGGGCGAATGGCGGCTCCTCTGCCGCGCAGGTGTCCAGCAGCGCCGACTGATTGGTGGCGGCTCCAGACGCTCTGGAGGCAATGGCAGCCGTCATTGACCTACCATCTATCTTGGCCTGGCCCCCTTAATTCCAAGCTAGCAGTTCCTTAGACAGTAAGTATTACAAGTAATTAGTTGATGGCTCTCAAGTTCGATCTGTGGGTAAGCAGCGGGGAAGCTATTAATCTAACGCTGCTCCGTAGTGGTATTTAGTCTAGATGATGTGATCGTGCCATACTCCGCGCGTGGGATCCATGGATGATCAGGATTACTGTCCCGTAGCCTGGGATATCCGGAATTAGTCGACCCCGTCTAGTGACCCTGGCTCCCCTAGATAAGGGCGGATCCATTATTGGGGACAGTCTAATGGTCACTGGCATACTGGTCAAGTGATAGTGCCTCGAACAAGCAAACTATAAGATGACGGGAAGCGTCTCCTGAAGAGCGCTATCAACCCACGCTATCACATCCCCTCCCCTAATCTAATATCCCATTCGGTGAAGATACTCCCCATCTTGATCATTATCTAGCAGTCTCAGATCTGGAAATTTCCTGTCTTAATCTTGGGTTACAGCACTACTCTGTAGAACAAATGAATAGCTCGTTTAGCAGCTAACAACAATTAAAATCATCGTCCCGTATAGATACATTCGTTAATTGGTAACGCCCGGTCCAGTGTAGCCCGTGTCCGGCAGGTAGAGGTGTCGCTGGGCGCCCCGAGACGTCAGCACCACCAGTCGGATGACACCACCCGAACTGCCATCCCACTTGATCGCTTCTTGCAGTGCTCCGCGGACGAAGTTGATGCCTTCCTCCTCTGTCATGTTCTCCCTCCAGTGAGTATCACAGTACCCATAGATATAGGTCGATCCGGATCCGCCAATGGAGTACGGTTGCTTGTGAAGAGATCCGCCCAAGGGTATCGAATACACCTGACCTCCGTGCTTCGGATCGTATCCGGCAATGATGATACCGGCACTATGATTTGTTGGTCAACAAAGCTTGCTCATTCCAGGCTGACCCGGTGGTATGCCTACCTTAGCATGTCCTTGTTCTCGTAACATAGCTCTTGGAACAGCGATGCGGCGACCTGAGTACTCGGCGCCTCGTTGTTGGTGATTGCGTACATGTTGAGGTGGTAGGACACAATGTCTGCCACAGCCTGGGTGTCCGCGGCGGAACCTGATCGACAGCACCAGATTGTGTCATGGACCTGCGTCAACTTGTCGGTGACTCGGTTGGCGATGTAAGCTCCGGTTGTCGTCCGACTGTCTGCACCCAATATAACACCATCCTTGAAGTTGATCGCCATGCTGTATTTCGTCAACATATCGGACATTGCCTCGGGGCTGACTGAAACTCACATCGATGTTCCTAGGCTGTACCGATGAGTTAGTGACCGTTCCCAAGTCTCATTGAGCAAATGGTTGGGGGACATACTTTACTTCTCCGCTCTTCAAGTGGTTCATATCAACATGGATGCCATCTGCAATAACTCATCAACTCCTGCTCGACACATTATCAATTCATAGCACGAGACCACTAACCCTCGCCGAGCATCCCCGTCATACCGTGACCGACCATGATGGCTGTTTGAAAATTGACAAAAAGGGGTGATTAGTTCCTATCTATGAAAATATATCCCACCGAAAGAAACAGGGTGTGATGGTGATGAAGCGTGGATGGAAAGCAAACGTTAGTGCAGCGATGGTCAGAGGTGGTTATGAGCTCTGACGGAGCTCTCCAGGCAGGTGAACGCGTTACGTTGGCAGCTGGAGCTGATTCCGCCGGGCGGTGAGAGACAGCCACGTTCCTACTGGGTGGTTCCTCTTCCCCCGCAAGCCTCCTGAACGACTTCCCCCAGCCATAGAAAGCAGCCCCCGATGAAACAAACCGACGCATTATCTCCCGCTCCAGGCTGCAGGGTATCTCGCCGGATCGTGACCCTCACCACTTTAGTTTCCCCTTCCTGAATTCTCCAGCGCTCCGACCGTCAATTCAAGCATTTCCACCCTCTCCGTTCCAGCCGCACCACTCTTATCTCTCCGCGACACTGCCTGGTTAGCCAGTCTACTACCATGTCGGAGTCGCCGCCCCCACCGTCATGGAGTATCGCCGGTATGGCCAACAGTGCCGTACAATTCTTGCGATTGCCAGTTCTGGCGTCTTCCGGGTTGGCTGTGGTAGCCAGCGGTCTTTTGTACTTTAAGCAGAAGTTCGTACCCCGTCATCAGACGTCCATGGACAACATCTCAGTGGCGTGTCGTTAGACGCTGACCCCTTTTGCAGTGAGCTCATTTATCCTCGCAACGTGCCCGTGGATGCGCGGACAAATGTCCCCAAGCCCCAACAGTTTGGAATCACAGACTACGAAGATCTACAAATTCCGACCCCCGATGGAGAGTCGTTAAATGCCCTGTTCATCCGCCCTTCGCGCAAACGTATAGGCCCGAGTATCACCGTGTTGATGTTCCATGGAAATGCCGGAAACATCGGGCATCGCATCCCCATCGCAAAGGTTCTACAAGATGTCTTGGGTTGTAATGTCTTGATGGTGGAGTACCGTGGTTACGGTTTGTCGACAGGTACACCGGACGAGGCGGGCTTGAAAATCGATGCTCAGACGGGGCTAGAATATATCCAACAGCGACCGGAAACCCGAGACAGCAAGATTGTGGTATATGGACAGAGCTTGGGTGGAGCCGTGGCGATCAACTTGGTTGCCAACAATCAAGGCAATGGTGCGATCGCTGGACTAATCCTTGAAAACACATTCCTGAGTATTCGCAAACTGATTCCCACGTAAGTCCTGCTCTATGACTGGTTGCCGACCCAGGCGCTGTTACCCACGTCCTAGGCCAGGCAATGCTGATTCCTCTTATAGGGTCTTCCCTCCTGCTCGTTACCTTGCCCGTTTCTGCCACCAGTATTGGACCAGCGAGGATATCCTACCTAAGATCACACAGGTCCCCGTTCTCTTCCTGAGTGGGCTGAAGGACGAGATTGTCCCGTGAGTGCCCTCAGGAATTGTTGTACAAGCTGAGTCCCAGCACGTCACTAACATGCAGCTTATGACCAGACCATCCAACATGACTCAGCTCTTCGCTATCTGCAAATCCGACCGCAAGGTTTGGCGTACACTTCCAAATGGAGGACACAATGACAGTGTTGCTGAGCCCGGCTACTTCGAGCATATTCTCTCTTTTGTGAGGGAGGAAGTCCTCGCGGACGGTCAATAAACCGGCCGCCCAGATGGCATTGGGGCAGCACCACGAACTTCGGCCATTGACGTGAATCGGTCGCTTTTATATCTCGGATCGCTCTGATGACACTGATGCTTTCCTTGGTGCTGTTCCTTTACCAACTGCCAACGAACTCATGACCACTTTCGACCCTTTGCTCTCACAATATCCCTTTCTGCGAAGACCACTCGTCCGCAGTCATGTCTAGGGCAAGGTTCTTTTACAGTGCCCTTCACATGTGGCTGTCGTTGCATGAAGAGCTGCTCCTTATACACCCAGTTTAATTCTCCTTACGACTTGTTCCCGAACAGTCTATCTGCTGCGGTTTCTAATTCACACCCCTTAATCCCCGCAGCATCGGTTCGAACACTGTACCCATATCAAATATGTTTCGACAGCAACTTGCTCGCCTGTTCTTTGTCATTGCTCCCTGCGTGGAGTCTACCTTTTTGTCTCATGATATTCATGCTCATGGCGTTATTGACTCCGGCTATTTTCTCATTATTTCCGCACTGCTTCTAAACCCAGGCGGTGTTTGGCTTGTCTCATCTGGCTGCATTAGCTGACACTCATGGATTTATGAGTTGAATCTACGCGTTCGCACTAGAATTAGGAAAGACCTAGCAGCCAAGATCGTCTTATCTAATGAAGATTCTATCTAGTCCAATGGATTAGTTATGTCAAAACAGAATCTTGCGACTCCTAGGGTCGATCGTACTGTGTACTAAGTTATAGCTTCGTAGTAGTAGGCATGCCATGCACCGCTAAAGAACATAATGACTCAGCAACATAGTGGCGCTGCACAAAGCACGGCCCCACGTGGATAATCGGCGAGCGGAAACGTCCAAGTCAAGCCATCAATTAATGGCTCATGCCATCATGCAAAGTTCAATAGTCATCCCACCCGTTCGTTGCTGGCAACCTCCAGCTCCCTAATTCCTTCCTTCTACATACTCGCCGCCATTGTTTCGCTGTATATTTCTTTTGTTCCACGTTCTTTCGCTTGTCGTTCCTTCTCTTATTAAACAGGACACGAGTCCTCTACCCCCGTACCAAGCATACCCTAGACGGGCCACTTGGCGATCTGGCCCGCCATTGACGGCATTGATTTGCGATATCCTTGAAACCCACCTCTTTCGTACCCACCATGGCGAACCGTCAGATTACTCGACGCATTCTCATCAGTACCGCGATTGCCGTCTTCCTGCTCTTTGTTTTCTTTATCCGACCTGAAGGACCGCCGAGTCCCGCGATCCGTGCCCCCGGTCACCTGGAGAAGTCTACGCAGGCCGTGGTCTCCAAAGATGACCTCACCAAGGGCGATGTTGTAATGCCCCGGCTGGGGAATGCAACCGCGAAGTAGGCTAAAGCCAAATGCTATTTCGCATTCTTGACATTTACTGATTATTCACCACCAATTGCAGAGCCGAATTGGGTCGTGCGACATGGAAGTACTTCCACACCATGCTAGCTCGATACCCCGAGGACCCGACGGAGGAGCAGCAGGAAACTCTTCGCTCCTTCATCTACCTTTTTGCGCGACTCTATCCATGGTACCTACCCACACGCCTTTCTCTCTGCGCTGATCGTGGCTGCTGACTATTTATCAGTGGGGAGTGCGCTTCTCACTTCCAGGGTCATCTGAAAAAGTACCCGCCGCAAGTTTCGTCGCGCAACGCGGCTGCAGGATGGGGCTGCTTTATCCACAACGAAGTGAACACCATGCTCGAAAAGCCGATCTTCGACTGCAATAATATTGGGGACTTTTACGACTGCGGCTGCGCCGAGGATGAGGAGGGCGAGGGTGATGAAACTTCGAAAGATAAGAAGAGTCAGAGCGCTGCTCGAGACGAGGTTGATAGCGATGATGCCGTTTCGCCCGTTGAGATATCCAGGGAGCCGTTAGTTACGTCCTTTGATTACCACGGGAGCGAAGATACTGATCAGACGATCTAGGACTACGCGGGGTTGAACAGGACCGCAGAACTTTGGTATCTAATCCGTGCACCTGGTTGCGTTTATACCCAGTAATTGTTCTTGCATGCTCTACCAACGCAGGATCGCTGGGTGCATGGGGCCAGGAGCAGTACATTAGCGTATGATTTCTACAGCCACACTCATTCAAATTCCGCATTATCGTCCAGACTTTGTACTTTGCATGTGAATTTCATCTGCCCTGTAAGCACCCGGACTTCCCGGAAAGGGCTTCGCTTCTCACACAGCAATCGTGGGAGGGTAACAGGAATTCTGCAGTCACACAGCTGTAAACGAAGCTTCTGGCAAGTTCTCAGCAGATGCGAGCAAGCGATGGCCGGGGCGGCCGGTAAGGTTGCGAAAGTATGCGGCATCGCGCGCATGACTGCAGAGATGCATCTGACTGGCGCGGCTGACCAAGACTAACGTAGCCTGTTGCTGAACACAACAAGGCAAGGTGTATTGCCTCGCTCCGCTACAGCAAACCTCTATGAACAAATACCCAGTTTACGATATAGTCAACTAGTCCACTAGTATTACCGACACCACGCTGGAAGTGTCAGCGACAAGGCTGAAACCTGACTTCAAATAGATGAAACACTCCGCCATGAGGATGCCCGATTCGCGCGCGGCCCGGGCCACAAAAATAGAAATAGATGTCGTTAAGCCAGCGCCAGCGGCATCGCTGAACCGAGCCTGGCTGTCAACCAGAGGGTGGCTCGCACCGAAAGTCTAATCAACTGTAGACTGACGATCTCACCCACCTCAAGCCTATGGAACAGGGAGGTATCACTATGCCTAGATAGCTGGCGATGGGCTCGTATCGGAATTCTCCCGCATCATCTGTAGGATCGTCTTTCTTTCGCACCCAGCGCCACACTAATCGACCCGGTGAAGGCGGGTGAAGCTGGCTGGTGACTGGTTGATCCGCCCATCTTGCTGCACGGCGTCAGGTCTCCTGATAAGTCCGTGCTGATGTCCGGATGTGCAAGCGCTACACCCGTGGTCTACTTGATCCACAGGTCATCATGTCGGCGTGTGCATGGGAATCCTGGGCCTTGTCGACCGAAGGGCGCGTTTCAGGTCTGGGAGTCCAGGTCAATCTGACTCCTGAAGGTCATGGTGGAAGATGAGTATGAAGAGGAGATATGCTGTATTCGATGTTTTCAGTGGAGCTGTTCTTTGAGCAGGTCGTATTCTCATCGGTAAGAAGGAGGCGCATGAATTCTATCTAATTATCTTTGTTTTCTTGGATTTGATTGCGGGGTTGGAGGGTCATGGCCTGATTCGTCAGGTACCAAATGCCCTGGCACAGGGTTTGGAACAATCCCAAAGCAGATAAGCGCCACCCAGAGTTAATTCTGGACTTTTTGACTTTTTGGCCCTTTTTTGCCCTTTTTCTTCTGGGCGAGGGAACAAGAAGCAAAAGCACAGCAGTGAGACGCAGAGGCGAGAGCAGGGAAGCTTTTTCTTGAAGGCGCCGAGTGCTTGGGATCCAGTCCGCATTTATTTATCTGACCTGCTTTGCTTATTCTGCTCGGCTTGTCCGACCATCCCTCGTATTTGTTTTGCGCCGTCAACAACAATAACAATCACCACCACTTCCACGACTACCACCATCACCCGTTTGTTTAAGTTGGATTGAATTGGATTGGACTTCGTCGTCGCGCAGGGATCCATTCGTCCCAGAAAAGACTCCATCGCTTGGTCGGCTTATTCCCCGACAGGTTCAGTGCGGGTCCCGACAAACTAGCGCCCTTCTCAATCGCCGTCTTTTCTTCTTTTTCTTGTCTTGCGACTTTGAGTTCTCAATATATCACTGGGAAAGTCCCGACTCGTGCAGACACTTGAATAGTACGCGCACCACATCGCCGGGTCATTCAATATGGTTTCCTTCTCCTGCGAGGTGAGTTGTCCTTGTCTCTCGCTTGTCACGAGCAGCGTCCTGCGCGGAACTCTGCTGGAAATCGTGCTAACTGGCTGCCTTCTTGATCTCTAGGCTTGCGGTGATATCCTCACCAAGAAGAAGCTCGATCCCCATCGCAACCAATGTCGCGGCGCCACCTTCACCTGCATCGACTGCATGGTGCACTTTTACGGAACTGACTATCGGTCGCATACGGTATGGCTCTTCTACCCCTCCGCTTGTGCTTTGCCGCGGACTATATACTTTGCGCTTCGTCCAACGGGTCGGAACTCTCTGCGCTATATCTGCTTGTTTGATTGGTGGATATGAGGGCTCTGCTCTTGTTGGAACAGTGCAAGCGCACTTTGTGAACAAGAATGAGTGACTGACTTGTCTTCTTAGTCGTGTATGACCGAGGCGCAAAAGTACCAGGGCGCGCTCTACCGGGAGAAGCCTACGAAGAACCAACGCAAGGCACAACAGAACAATGGCAAGCAGAATCAGAAGCAAAACAACGCTCATGGTCACCGCGCCCCGTATGTCGAAGATGCGAACGACACCGATAACCCGCCTGCGGCTCCTACTCCCCCGGTGACTGGAAACGACAAGTCCCAGGAGGCTTCTACGAACGGAGACAAGCAAGTTAATGTCTTTGACTACTTGGTGGCAGAAAAGACCCCCAACGCGTCCAAGGTCTCTCTGGGCGGCTCTAAAGAGCAGATGAAGATGGTCGCCAATGCTCCCTCGGTCTTCGAGCCCAGCAAATCTCTGACCCGCGCCGACACCGATGCGGAGGAAGAGAACAAGAACTATGACGTCGCATATGAGGAGAATGGTTACTCCTACGGAGCTGGCCCCATCAACCAGTCGGTGTATGACGGTAAAGCCCCGAATGCCTCCATGGAATTCATGACTCCGGCACCGAAGAAGAAGAAGGATCGTTTGCGCGGCGAGGACAAGGTCAGCGGCACGACCAGTGAGAAGAAGCGCAAGCGCCGCACCGACGATCACGACATGGAAGAAGCCGACACCCCCATGTTGGATGCGCCATCCAGCGTGCTGAACAACCCGGGCACACCCATGTTGAAGCACTCTGGTCTGACTGGTGGTCTGGACCGGATGCTCCGCTCGCCGTCTCAGGACGGAGAAGATCACCCTCGTCGGCGTTACCAGGACCCCTCGTCACCCATCAAGCGTTCTCGCCGGGACAACAAGGACGCCAATGGTGATGGTCTCGGAATTTCGATGAAGAACCGCGCTGAACGTCTTGTGTCGTCGATGTTTGGTGGATCGTCGGTCTCAGGAAGTAGCGTGAACAGCCGCGAAACCGGCAAGGCTGCCCGGGCCAGTCGACGCGGGTCTCCGGACGAGGGTCGTTCCAAGAAGTTGCCCAAGGTCCGCAACGCCTCGAACGGCCAGGCCGAGTCTGATGTTAGCAAGAGCAAGCGTAAGAGCAGCGCTCAGACGGACGGTGATCGGCCGTCGCGCCGTCAAAAGCAGATCGAGCACACCGACTCTCGCCACGACGATGACGGCCGTGAAGTGGTGGTCTACCAGCAGAGCGGCGTCCCTGATGGCCTGCAGCGCCAGATGGCTACTCACTTTCTCTCATTGGTGACCAAGGGCCCCGAAAGCACGCGCGGGTTCTCTGTGAACAAGGTTCTAAAGCGATTCCACCGCGATTTCACGGACGAATTTGACGACAGCGACCGTGGACGCGATCAAGGCCGCAGCCGTGCCGATCGGGAGCGCAGAGCCGATGACGAGAAGGAGTTGTGGCGGACACTGCGGTTGAAGCAGAATGAACGGGGTGAAGTGGTGCTTTTCTTCTGATTTTGATGGGTAATACGAGCATGGCATGGAGGCAAATGTTTTCCTTTCTTCTCTTCTGATATCTTTTGACTGCACTATTTGTGTTGTGCATAGCGATTGTGATCTGTGGATGGCTTTTTGAAGATTCATTTTCAATATGTATATTGGCTTTATTGATTGCAGCTAATGGTTTCGCTGGCAATCATTGGTTATTCCCCCTGCAATGTATTCCTCGGATCTAGAATCTGTAGAACATGCGGTCCCACTATGAGTAATATGCGATACAGGATGAGTCGAAGGCGCAGTACCTCTTTCAGCATGAGTCACTGGCCGATAAGCCCCTGGCACAACCCTATTAGGTTAATTCCCTAAAATCCTGCAATGAATGCACTGTAGTTTATTAGCAGTGTTAACCCACAAGCCATCATTGGGTGGCACATGACCCGTTGCCAGCTGCCACTCTCCATCAAATCTTCAACTGTCGCCACCCGAACCACCTCCGAGCTCAGGAACCATCCGAACCACCATCAAATTCCATCCCTTCGATCGCTTTCTCTTCGCTTACAACTATCTGCTTTTTCAGCCTGCAAGGCATTTCTTCTTCTTCTTCTTTCTTTCATTTCCTTTGTCTGCCCGGGTAGTGTGTCTACTGTTGAGGAAGAGTTGTTATATTCCCTCGTTGTTTTATTTTATTTTTTCCCCGTTCACACTACTACTACTCACTTAATATCTGGATCGGCGGTTATCGCTCATTAGCGTTGGTGCATGATTGTCCTCCCACCACCGCCACCGCAAACCTCCCACCCACTCTCAAGGACCCTGGAGACGCAGACCATGTCCGCTACTTCTGCAGCTCCAGCTCCAGCTCCCGCGGCTGTTGGAGCCTCCAATTCTAATTCTAGTACCCCGCGCCCGAGACGCGGTAGAGGCCGTGGTGGCCGCGGTCGACAGACAGCGAATTCAGCGCAGGCTCAGACGCAAACCCAGACTCAGGCAGCACCAGACGCACAGCCTCACACTCAACGCCAACCGCCTACGGAGACCACACCGAACGGAGATGCACCGCGTCCGCCACGAGGACCGAGGGGAGGCAACAAGAGGGGAGGAAGAGGGGCAGGCGCGAGTCGTCGGCCACGCGGTGGCGATCAGCCTACACTTCCCGCTGGACGGACCTTTGGAGGAAGATTGACGAGGCCGGAGCAGGAGCAGGATGGTCAAGCGATACCGGGCGGTGATGGGGTGGATGAGGCTGGGTTGAGGGCCGATGCGCCTGTGTTTGTGCCTGGTGTTGTACCGCAGCAACCAAGGGAAGAAGTTCCCAATGGTGCAGCGTCTGCGTCTGGTACTGGGAGAGGAAAGGGAAAATCGAAGGCGAAGAA